GAGCAATCCTTCGTAGACAGCGATTGTCGAAGACTGACAGCCGCTTCATTTCTTCCGAGCGAACAGGCCAAGTCTCACAGCCGTACAAGAGTAAAGCACGGACGGAAGCATTGTACACCCTGCCATTGAGCTTGAGACTGACATCACGACGACGCCATAGGTGTCTCAGTTTGATGAATGCAAGGCGGGCCTTAGCAATCCGTTGTGAGACTTCATCTCCAACGCCGCCACCAGCCGTGATGTACATAGCTAGCAACAGCTTGTTGCAAGTTGCAGTTATCTGCTTCCTAATTGTAGCGCCTGACGATATTTATCGAAAAGAAATTTCTTCGCAATTGTTCTCTTCATGTCTGAATGGGCATAATTTATGAGTATAAGAATCTCTATAGTATTGTTTCTCATAGGGTGGTCCGCAGATGCCCAGGGGGTTTGTGGGTTACTTTCAAGGAATCCGCGTGATCTCCCAAAGTGTTACAATACGATTAGGAAATTTTACGGACGCGATCAGTCTATTTCACGAATTTTGTGCAAATTTCTAAATCAAATCAGACGGTTTACATAATGGCCTTGTGCATTGCCCATGGAAACATACCCCTTCCAAAGAGGAAGCTTTTTTGGCAGGGAGTTAGAATAAGAGCGAACGAGGCTTTCCAAGGTCAGAAAGGCCGTGGGGTAAGTTCACCGTGATGCCATGGCCAGTGGCAGGATGTCAATCTACGTCCGTTCAAGCTCACATAAACCAGGCTATGTCCCTCAAGGGGCAGTGAAAGTATGCCATACGATAGGGCCTAACTTTACGGTCATTTCAAGTGTTACTATCCTCCGTAATGAGCAAACCGGAAAGAGAGGCCCGTTTGCGGGGTCGCGCCCACGGAAGCTCAGATGGAAGGTGTGGATATTTCTGGGGTTAACGAATGTGCTCATCCGATTCCGCGAATTCGAGGGAAACCACACTAGTGACGTTACAAAAGGATGGCTGTTTCGTTCACTAATTCACTTCTTTCAAAGCCCAAGTTATCATAGTAACAAAATTCATGGTGTGTTGTGGACTCTTGTGTTTAATTAGTTATCTCCGTTGTGGTAGTTAGACAAGTAACATCAACAGGGACCATGAAATGAAGAATGGAATACTGCTAAATGTTTCACAGGAATATTCTTCGTCGAATTCAGATGTTGTAGTAGTTGGGCCATCTAATGTGCCTTCTGAGCATGCAGCAACTGAGACGGGCGACGTTTCCGTACTGCCTAATGCGATGTAATATAAGCCTGTGCCAATCGGATCCTCTGTACCATTGGGTAAGAGGCGGAAATACAACAACATTTTTGGATTTATGGAGTTCAATAATTGTCCACAAGGTGACTTGTGTAACGAAGTTCTTCTGAACATGGTGCCTATTAAAATGCAACGGCATTTCGAAAAATTCATACGGACTGTAAAGACAGAAAAAAGTACTTACAGCGCATGCGAGATGAAATATTGAACACCCAAACGTACATGCTTCACGCGTCGCAGACTGTGAAAAAATGCTACGGAAGCATCTTACATAGTTAGTTATCGTAATGCGCTGACAGCAGAACCGAGAAACTTATCCGGCCATGCATACAAAACGCATGAAGATGACCTAAGACTCTTCCTTTCAAAACGCTTTCCACAGACTGTCTGTGTGATTTCTGATGCAAAGCGAACCATGTGTACCTTGTCATGGTAGACAGCTATCGTCGTGCTTCTCCCATTTGCCACAACTTAGCTGTGTGAGATTGCATTCTCGCATTATATCTATACGAAACAAAGTACCGAAACAGACCTGAAGCGTAACGAGATACGAGGTTATAGCTTTCCTCAATAACACCTAGCATCAAACAAGTCAGCACTGCATGTCGGAACGAATTTTATCCAAGGTATTAAGCCTTAACATAATTGCATTTCCATGTAAGTTCAAGAGCCTTCACTTTTGCAGACATAAATGAACAGCTGTGCAAATTCAGTGTACAGCGATGAACTCCACCTCATTGTTATGTTACCAATGCCTAGTTTTGTGAATAAGAAAAGCTCAGCGGTCCGTCGTGTTAGGTTACACTATAAAGGGGTGCACGTGGCGAAAAGTTTGAGAACATCTGCTCTATAGTGACACACGGCATCCTGTTAGCTGACGGCGTCTGACTAATGAGGAAGCTACTCGACGGTGCGCGTGTGCACCTAAGCCAAACTTTGAAACGCATCAACTTGAAAATGCTTATGAAATGAGTTGAAAATGTTTACGAACCATTTTCTTTCCTCTATTAACGTATTTGACTCGGAAATGGTATAGACCGGACTCGCCGTTCGCGCCCATCGCTCGTCTGATTCGCTCTCGGTCCTTTGATCCTGCAGCGATTCCATTCGCCTGCAATTTCTTTCCTCTATTAACTAACGACTCGGAAATGGTATAGGGCAAAGGAGAAAGAGCGTGCATTGATAGCGTAGGAGCGGATTCGTCCGCCGAGCAGCGGCCAGATAACACACACCTGAGTCCAGGAGAACAACACGGTACACTGTGGCAGCTAACCAGCTGAGGAAGCATGCTAGTTAACAAGGGGCAATCAGAGAAATAACCACAGCAAAATATTAAGTTTAAGTTACGTGTTTTACAAGTAACATCGAACCTTCTTTATAACGAATGTGTGATGGCCATGTGGACCTTTATTGGTTACCGGTGGGCTACTGGACACGTTGCGCAGTCTTCGCGAAGGAGTTAGGCTCAAAGTGTGGAGTGGGCGACGGCCCAGCCACCGCCTTGTGAATGTCCGGTACGTATGATACCCCGGTTTAACAACCAGTAATGTTGTTACTGTGCATGTGAAAAAGTGCGGATCGTTGATGAAACGTGGCTCGCATCCACATGTCTCCTGGTCTTATGCCGTCGGGTTCACAATGGATATGGGGGTGGGTGAATGGAGCTGTGGGTATTGCAGCGCAAGCCACTCATGGTTCATCTGTAGGCACAGACGTCCTGTGACTGTCCTATGGAGGCCTTAGGGACAGGCAAATCCGGAATCGATTGTCGCCATGTATGCATCTTAATATATTTATTCATTATAGTCAAAGAGCGTGAATTTGGAGCAACGTTCTCTAAGCATATACGACAGATTGCAAACGCAATGGAACTATGATTTGCGCATGCCACAATGCCATTGTTTGGAATGGTTGGGATAACGGGAGAGAACAGGAGTTACGCAAACTGACATGAGCACAGTTTACGGTAACAGATGACCAAGTTCGTTGCATCTGTTTTGATTCACAATATAACTGCGGAGGTTAAAGTTTGTGTTATGGGAAATGCGCGTCCGTCCATGCTCAGGAGACCAAAACAGGTGACACGGCTGCACCCAGCGCTGCTCACTCCCAGCAATGTCATACATGCCAGCGGTTGGGTAGAGCAGCGCTTATTCATTTCGATGGCGAACGCGAACGGTTCGCTTGTTCCTATGGCACGTTGAATATCTATCTCACACGGGTAAAACGAAGGGTGGTTGCAGTGGTACCAACCACGTGCCATGGATAAGCAACCTTTGGAGAACAGCCTACTGATCATCACCATATAGTACAAACCTCACTAGCCTACTGTGTGCTCACTGGGTCATCATCATTACTGCTCAGGTCCTAGTTTCACATTTGTTTGAGCTAGGTGAATTCAGTTGGTATGAGCCTGCGACATGCACTTTTCTCACCGCACCGTGGTGCGACTGCACTGTACTCTTTGTGGTGGTCGGCTCAGGAGTGACGTCGACAAGCGCTTCATGATTGGTTGCTGGTGCACTCTGCTAGAACAGTCGTTATAGCTAGACAGATGGAATGAAACCAGATCGAAAAATCAACCGCGTTGGACCCATACCGAGTTGAAGAGGAAATCTAATAAAACGTACCGGATAAATGTGTGTGAAACGTGTATCAAGCAATGTCACTGTCCGAATCGGACCGTAACACTAGCCAGGATTCGACAACGCTCTCATTCGAAATATAAAAGTTATGAGCAGTTGTTGACTAACAGTCATGCGATGAGAAACCAAGCTCCCAACCGAACGTATCAACCTTGGTCATGCGAGGAGCAACAGTTAATCGGTAAATGTGCCTGGTGACTGGGTGTTACCGTTCGCTTGTTATAGATGGGTTCAGGAGTGACGTCCACAAGCGCTTTATGATTGGTTGTTGAACCGCCCATCTCAGGTCCGCTTTACTTGAACAGCCGTTATTTGTAGAAAGATAGAATGAAACCAAATTGAATGCCCTTTAAAGCAGCCGTTGTATCTTCATTGTAACATTGTTTTTGTATTATCTGCCGTGGATTGGACAATTTGCACTACATATTATTACCAATTTCTTCGGTTACACCATTTCAAGGTCACTAGCGTCGTACTGTTTTGATAGATTGAGACACAGCGCGTTCTGCGCGAAAAGTTATCAAAAGGGTTTTCGTAAGTTAAAGACTCATCGTCCCAATCGACAAACTTGGCTCCGACACTGTACCTTCAACAAAAAGCAAATACCAAGGATACAGTTCACCAACGAAAATTAATATCTGAATCTACGGGACCGTTCATTCATGTGACATCTGTGCACCTGATGCCAATGTTTCCATCCATACTATCTGCATTTTTAACGTTGCTATTTTGGTCAATCCGTGGTAGTTATTGTAAAATGCGAGAAATGCATCCACTCGGCTAGATAATGCCTATGTTGACTTGATTTGAATATTTGGATTTCAACAATATGGCGCTGCTGAGCAAATGCAGCCGCTTTGCAGCTGACTAAGAGTAACACCACCTGGACACAAGATTGGGGGTACTGAACCAGTTGGTGTGGTATAGAATACGTGTAATCGATGCACAGCATAACGGTTGGAGTTCCAAGAGGAGCAACTGTAAGCGTTACTGAAGGTAAACGCAACAAATAGACTGAGAATCAAATAATGTGAGGACAAAAAACCAAATGGGTACTGCTGTGTTTTTCGCCCAGAACTCACAATTTATTGAAAATGGGACGTTGCTAACTAGATGCTTCGTTAGCATCCGGAATACCACGCTCCATTCGATGAGAATAGGATCCAAAAATGTATACAAAGCAGCTCCCAAGGGCTCTATTCCCTTCTTCTGTGACACATCCGTAAGAAACTCAGCAAGCAAGCGTACCTAGTACAAAAAGATGATGACACCGTAGTTCAATACGCAATCGATGCTATTGCAGATGGTAAAGATACATCGCAAAGCACTTAAATGTTAAGCCCGTTTAGTTGATAAACAACAAGCAATAGCGCGAAATGAATCATCATCAGCTATTGAGAACACCACATGAATGGAGAGTCAACTATCGTAGACGATGGATCACTGCTAGGGATGCAGGCATCACAACTGGGTGCGAACAACCATCTTAGGAGAGCCTGGGTGGAAGGAAAGGTGACGCGGAGGAAAACAAGCAAGCAATTTCCACACAAATCCTATGAAACATCGGGAAAGAGTGCACTAAACACGACAGGGGTAGTCATGCAAAACCCATAGTGAGGTAGAAACAGTGGAGAAAATGTTGTAAATAGTTCCCACGAGGTAGTTCACTTTTGGGTAGATTATCGTCGGGCAGAAGAAAAGAAAAACGGGTAAAACCAAAATCTAGGGGCAAAATGATTGACGTAAGTGAATACCGAGTACTGCATACTGAGAATAGAGAGCGAGAAGATTAAAAAAACTGTGTTGCTCATCGTAGACAGATCGGGTACCTGAGCGGAATCACGTCGCTGATTCCTGTGCGGTGGCAGCACATTGCAGCTGCACTACATCTTATCCGGGTGCGATGCCCTCCGTATACCAGTAGTCCGCAAAGTGGGCGTCAAGGAATCTCTTAAATTCCAAGACCGATTTCGCCTCAACTAGTGTGTCTGGCAACTTGTTCCAATATTTCACCACTCAACGCACGAAGAGGGTGAGCGATGCGTTTTAAATCCTGTATCACTAGTTTGTACCGGTGTCCGTGCGTGCTGCTTTGTGATCGAACGTGTAGCAGCAGCTTCAACATAGGGAAGTGGCTTAGTTGCAATGTGCGCTGAATAAGATTTTGTAGACAAGCATGTGGAGTAATCCTTATTCAGCAGTGTACAGATGAGCAGTTGTGTGCGAAAGTACACCGGCTTGTAAGATAGGTGACAGACACCACAGTAGTCGATTTATGACTACAGAAACATAGATAATGGGAAGAACCTAGTATAGAAAAATATTCCAGCGTCGCGAAAAACCAACTCACTAACAACTCGAAGATAAACCACCAGCTGCGCAGCGGGATCAGACCCAAACGAGTTGGCTTCCCAAGGAAGAGACGGGTAATTCGCCCTGGTATGCACTAGCCAAAGCATTGTATGGAGAACAAGAAAGATAGGTAGCAACAGTGTTACAATTGTGGCAGACGGATGCAGGCAGATAACGGGTTATGCAGTTTGGAAAACTATAACGAAGCGTACCTACCGCATGAGTGGGGTCAGTAAAGAAGGATGTGTCCTTCAGCAATTCCCTCATGACGGGTATGCCAGATATCGGCGAGCCGCAGAAAAGAGCCCAAAAAACTAAAAGCAAAATATTCAAAGAAGGTGATAGGAAAGAGTGAAATTGTTAGAACAACGGTATGAACATAGCAAAGAGAAACTGGGATAATCGGTTGGCGAGTGGATACGCCGGTGCCACAAATAGAACAGGCAGAAAACAAGCATAGACTGACCATTGCCAACAAGTGGCTTTTAGGCTACAGTAAGAGACGGCGCAGTTTCTTAGGGCATAGTTGAAAAATTGCGAATGGTGTGAGCCTGGATGATAAAACATTTCCAAACCAATTACAGTAGATCAAACACGAAAGCCGGAACAATAGATCAAAGGGAAAGACCCATTGGCAGTAAGGAATGCAGACCTTATGACTTGAATAAAAACGTGAGAGACGGGTGTGTGGCTAGTCAGACATACGACACAAAATCCCCAACATGACCGGCGCATCAAAAAGAGGATTGACCAGAAAATGAAACAGAGTAAAAGCCAAATGGGAGCCATCAAATACAAATATAGAGGTAAATAATTCACAATAAATTGGAGTCAAAATGATGCGAATCAGTAAGCAGTAGGGAAACTGCAAAGCCACAACGTCAGATGAAAGAAAACGCATTGAAATGTGGGATGGTCCTTTGGTGATTGTCTGAGTGCATGAAGAGACGCAAAGAGAAAAGAGTTCAGACGATGAGCGTTGAATGAGAGGAGCAAAGAGGGAGAATTGATAATCACATGGAAAGAGCCAGTGCTCGGTACCCAAGTGTATACATGAAATATCAGTGTCACTACGATGCCCTAGGCCCTACCAGCAGAAAAGACTTGCTTAAACGTCGGACAGCGAAGTTTGGAAGTTCCGAAAAATAACCCGAAACTACGTAACAAAAAATTCAGATCAGTGGAAACACTGACAGTGTATGTCTAACGAAGCCTCTAGTCATCAAAGCGGTTCAAGTTCGCGCATAAGAAATGCTTCAACCCGTTATGACTGTCACAAACTGGGCACACTGGAATTGATCCGATCAAGTGCGTAATAATATACAATTGTAGGCGGTCAGCGATCGAGCCAACGTAGGTGGTGGTTCAAGTTCAACACAAGGTCCAGTGTGCGGTAAGAGGCAATAACGGGCGGACACCAGAAACGCACGTATCCAATGCTGCAACTACATGCGAGTGATGCATCGAATGTGTCATCATACTGGCAATGTTCAGCGTGCCACGAAAGAGCGCCGACCCATGCAGTGATGTCACTGCAAAACTGATATTGGCCCACGTTCCAAGTCATCATCATCATAATACACGTTAGCTAGAGGTGGAAAACAATACATAAGAGAAAAGAAAGAAAAAATGTGCAAAAGATATTCAAACACGTTTCCATGTGAGTTGAAACTAGAAGATAAACGTTTACCAAAGCATTGATAGGGGAGGGTCAAGAATCGGGGGTTGAAAACTGGGGGCAAAGGTAGTTGGAACGGGACGATAGGAGTGAAAAAGCGTAAGAGTGGGAATTAGAAGACGGGAAGGCTTGAACAGTAGAAAACAAATCGCTATCTACCTTGCTCAATGCGGCAGGTTCGGCGCCGTTGATTATCCTCTGAAGTGGCCAGAGCATAAAGAAATTGTTTGAGAAAAGATTCATAGTATTGCGTGGACGGGACACTGTCAGCTTGCCCAGGCCTAGACAGGAGAAGGATTAGGGTTCCCAACCAAAGCCTTTGGTTCAACCGTAAGGCAACGGGTTGGACAGTGGACTACAGGGAGTCCATAAATCAAACTAAAAAGCATGCTTTAAACCAGTTGGTATCAAAACGCGTGTCAAAAGAAATGCGTACCCATCTCCGGCTTCGCTTGTGGACCATACAGGTAGGAAACGATGAGTTGATTTCGCCCATGCGAATCATTCCAATCCGGGAAGGATCCACAGATGTGATCCACAAAGTGACAGAGCAAGGAGAGTGCGGCGAATGCAGGCGCATCGTTCGCATCCGACGTGATGAGGTTATGTGGAGCACAGAGCGAACAGCCCGCAAAAAGTAAGCGTAAAAAGCCATCCATTAAGGGGGTAAAAAATGCGACCAGCTGCTGCAGTGAGGCCGTGCGGAGATGTTCCACTAGAGGTCTACACAAAAAGTAATTGATACAGAAAAATGAATTTCGAACACAGCTGAGAGAAAAGTAGGCAAAATTTAGTCGTTAAGCGAAACAGGCGAAAAATAGACGAAGCCCTAAGAAAATAAGTCACGCTGCTAACAGAGGTAATCAGTGAAACTATCGAAAGCGCATAGTCCCGGGATGATAAGCCACAAGGTTACTGACATTAAAATAAACTGGTTGGCTCTATAGGAAACTAAGCAGAACAATCATTTTGAAATAACGTCAAAATTTTTTGGAATGAGATAGCTTGCAATTCTGTGTACAGTATTGTCATTACCACCATTTTCAAAGACGCTAAGAACCAAATAAAGCCGTTATGTAATGGGTGCGATACTCTTTGAAACTTGGCTATCGCCACCAATTACAAAACAAAGTCTGACACCTGGAGGGTGTTTTAGGCTGACTAGAATAAATACCTTGAATGGCTCCCTTCATTGGCCTGGGTAGGTTAGCCATGTTATACACCGACACCAATAGTGCGGTGCACGATCAGCTGTCAGTGGAAGTGATCAGACAGTTCACTTATCTTCCAATGGCTATATGACTGAGGCTGTGGTACCTACCAGCAGCACTCGTGTGATTATTCAGTGCCTCAGTTAGTTATAAAGGTGGGAACTCAGCTTGTCAGTCAAGCATAGAGTGAACAGCATATCGGTAATGACAGTGTTACTTTATGGGTCAGAGACGTGGTTAATTCGCGTTGAAAATATTAGGAGATTGATCGTCGTTGATCACTATTGCTCGCGAAGTATCGCTCACATATGGTAGGGGTGCCAGGTGAACAACGCTGTTCCTCAGTTTGTGTTTGGCAAGAAACCCTATGGTGGCCAACTGCGGTAATCACTAAATTTGAACCGGGAAAGTTGGCGAAACTGCGTAAAAAGTATGCCCACTGACCGCCTACCTGGGGAGCCGGTCGATGAAGTAAAAGGGCGTGGAGGAATCGAGGAAAACTTGGATAAGTGCTTAGTGTCATTATCGTGAGCGTGGCCATAGAATGGACTGCATCAGCAGTAAGTGGAAACCTTATTAGAAAAGGGATTAGTTCTTATTATCAAAGAAATTGAATTACAGGAACCGGGGCTCGGAGTATGAACTGAACTATAACGGACCTTCTAATGTTTCTTGTTGTAACATTTATCAACTTTTAGCCCAACAGCGTAAACAACCGCTTCACTCAACTACATAAGGCGTAATCGAAAACACCATCAGCTTCTTTCACGCCCCCAGAATTTAGTTTCATTTTTTCGCGCTTCATCGCATCGAAAAAGTCATCGTGCCATATCCTACACACTCGCTTATCGACTGAACAAAAGTTGTCAGTAAAGATGCGCAGCCGTTGCTCGAATGACAATTGCGTACACTTAGCTAGGCCAATCATTTTCGAATTTTAAATTGATGCTATCTGTTTGTGCATCTGTAGTGATGTTGGAAACAAGCCCATTTGAATGTAAAAATGCTGCTATTACTTGACAGCACCCGCCAGCGGACTTGCCCGTCAATGCGGCTACGAACGGACTGGTGATGGTTTTGCGTACGGAGAAACCACGGGTGGCTTGCGTTGAGCGATGCACAACTCCACTCATCCACAACGTTGAATTAATAGTAGACAGGAGAGTGCCATTGGTTCGGAGGCAGCCCAAAATTCTAGAGGCACGCGAATCATCTATGAACAGATTGATCGACGCTGCAGCGCCCCAGGGTGGTCATGAAGCCTGGAAGCTGCAGCTGCATCGAGCGCCCCAAGGGAATAATAGACGAATTTGGTTAGCGGCTGATTCGTGTGGGATTATGATGATTGCTGGCTGCTTGCGGGCATAAAACCGATGGGGATGCATACCAGGCCTACAAACGCGGAGAGCTTGGCCACAACCCGTTCCGTAGTGACAACATTATAAGCCTCGCGCTGCCTAACACTGTGCACCTCATCCACTGACGGACGCTAGTCTCCTGGGACTAGCTATCGAGATGGAGACATTGGACGAGCAGGGACCATGTCAGCGCTCGCATCGCGCAAGGTTGACATAACATCCGGAGAAAGACAAAATGTGCAACAGCACCTTTCTAGCATATGTGTATTGTCGCAACAAGGCAAGAGAAGCGTCGCGTCGGGTCACTGAGTGCGAAATAATACGCGTTCAGCGATTCAGTTGACTTCGGCACGATTGTAGCAATACAGAACAAAAATGGCACCGCAGTCTATCCACGGAGCAAACTCCGAAATAACAAACAAGCACACAGAGAACGAGCAGGCTCGCCAACGACCGGTTCGATTACCGTTGGAACCCATCGAATTTGTATCCACAATAGGCGTTCTGTCCCAGTATTGCGATTTAAAATAAGTGACGACGATGATCACATTGTAGCTAGGGTAGTGAAGTGTGAGATTCGCAAAAGTATGCGAGTGTGTGTGCAAGGCGGGCAGGATAGGTGAAATGATAGGTGAAATTGATAGGTGAAGTGATGGAACACTGCCGGTACGGGTAGGTCGATGCACCGCAACGGCGTGTCCGCAAAGATAGAACCTAGTGAGTGATACAGATGGTGAGATGAACAACAGCAAGATCCAGAAACTAAGATAACCAATATGAGTACGTTGGATAACGTTGTAACAAAGGTGGTCAATAAACAGCTTCAAAATAGCCAGATGTTGGAAAAAGAGACAGAAACGCCCGAATGCAGACAGAGATGGGGGAGCGTCAGTGAGGTAGCTTGCATCCTCCGCTAAATTCACCGCTTCAATAGCCACATCCAGACAACACAGAGCGAAAGAGAGGGACAAAACTTAAACATTGAATCCTGCCACTCTGGTCTTCACGATGCACTTGTTTTCCGCGCGCGTTGTACAGCCTAAGTGCAGATGGAATAGTACACGACGATTAGTTAAAGCTCGGATGCGGCCTGATTCTTGAAATAACGCTATTCAAACACCTAATTGATGTCGAGCACAGACACGTGATGAATGTAATCGCACTCCATCGCATCACCTCGATGATGAGAAAAATAAAAGAGCGGAAATGTCGCAGTCGTAGGGGGTGAATGTAGCCTTATCATTAATCAATGGAGTTGTTGACCAAAATAGGAAAAAAACAAACAGGAATCGGTCTCGTCATCCACTGAAGATGTAAGTATTATGGCCGAAATTGTACTTGACCAACAACGCAATAAAATCGCAAGGTAAGCTACTCGGTGATAGTTAAGGAAGGAGAAAGTCGGGGGGAAAACTTTAAAAGTCCCCTGAAAACGGAGTGAAGAAATCAGGGGGCGATTGTGTTTGCTAATATCGAAGAGGTATCCGCTTGAGGATATGAGTAGGGATGGTGGACACCAGCACCGGAGAGAGTGACAGAGATACATCGCGGAGCAGCCGAGCGTATGCAACTTATATCGTCAGTCAGCCACGTGAAGTAGAAAAAAGCGACCCGAGAGAACGGACAGGAAGCAGGCAGGAAATTGTTGGTCTGTTGGTTAATAATGCAAGAGATCGATGATGATCAACCGGGATTGCATCACGCACAAACGTTTCATCAGGAAGGGAGTTGGGTACATCTGAATTGACATGCGCAGTAGCAGGATTGAAAGAATTGTGCTCATAGAATTCGGTTCAACAAACGGTGTGGAAAAAGATAAATCGAAGGGTTGACTGCATTGATGGCTGAGTAACAGGATAGAAAACAGCTTATTTTGTGGTTAACAGATTAGAATAACCAGAGTCTAGTGGTTATTCGGTACGTGGAGAGTGACACAACAACCCAGCAGTTAGTCCTAGAACTTTAGTAGAATAGCGCTCTGGACGAAAATAACTATCATATTGCTGAATTCGAGTATAAGGGCCCACCTTTTGCCGATCCTGTAAAATGCAAGCCTTAGACCTAATGCGAAACGACAGCGGAATATCTACCTCAGGGAACATTTAGCTCACATGCGTTCACAAATCACTCCACCAGGAATGTAGCTTCAGTACAATGGAATACCCATGTTTCTTGTATATTATGGTACCGACTCCGTCCAAGACTGGATCCCACAACTGGTTCCTTCGCTGATCAGACAATTCAAGTAAAAACAACCAGAGTTGCAAATCGAACTATGTGTACAGCGGATACCGGCAAAAAGCTTCGCCCCTAGATTGCAACGTTCCGCGATCAGTCGCTATTGGGCTACCGGGATGATTTCAGTGATCGAAATGACCGAGGCTTATAACAAAGTACATCGCAGCCAAACGGAAAAGTAAGTGTCAGTATACAGAGAGCCCTCACTGATTCAGAAAATCCAAAGTGACAGTGGCATATAGTTTGTCCAACACGGGCTAACTTGGGGGCAATTCAGTGTCCGAGTACACCCTCGATGAATTCGACATTTAGATGTAGTTCATCGCAACCATCACTCAATCAGACAGCTTCCCACACGTCTGGAAAAACACCAGGCGGCACAAACTGCTGGCATCCTGAAGTCATGGGTCGGAACTCGGCACGGGTCTGAGGAACGCGCATCCGATACGAGACTCAGACAGTTGAAACAGCCGTCTGGTACTTTTCCAAACGTGTGAGAAGCTGTCGGACTGAGGAATGGTTGAAAAGAACTATAGTTAAATTACACCAAAATTTCCACTACTCATCAGTAACCATAAATTCATCCGTATAGCTACAAGGCGTGTGTCGTACACAGTCGCTTTGAGGAAATTCGAAGCTCTGAGGACAACCAATGTTCTCCGTACCACAGTGGAGGATGAGCCGAGGTATACTGCAAACAAAGGTCATTCATGCAGGGCCGTCACCGTCACTTATAGCTTAGTCGTACAAGCTGCTGGCATTCGGAAGTCATGGGGTCGGAACCCGACAAGGGTCCGAGGAACGAGCAACACTGATGAAACATCGAAGGTAGACATGGCCGTCTGATGCTATTCCAGACGTGTGGGAAGCTGCCTGAATGGGAAGTGACTGCCATGAACTACTTCGAAATTACGCCCAAATTCCTGCTACTCGTCAGTAAGTCTACATTTGTGAATGATTAATCTGATATCAGGAGTTAAAATGGCGAGTTCTAGTCAAAAGTGTCAATGAAAGTTACGCGACATTGATAAACTATTCACAGTGTAGGACCAACTGCGCTTGCAATTGGTGGAGGACGTAAGAAGATTGCCAGGTAAAGAGAGATGTAGTGAACCGCGCTCCACGAGCACGCATCCAAAGCAGATTGTGATAGTTTACAAAACAGAAAACGCAGATCGAATAGCAGAGAAGGGAGTTCACCAGACGTCCAGTGAACACTCGGGGATGCAGTGACGAATCAATTCATCCCATCGTCTGATTCAGTGAGTAGCGGAAAATACTTAACTCCTTCGAGATGTGTTCACTTTACTCAGTTACAGTGGACATAGTCTGCGAAAAAATGGAACAAGATCGCAAGGGGCAGGTATATTACAGGTATAGTTAATACAAATGAATGGCAATGCACACCAAATTCACGGGACAAGGAGACTGATGTGAGAGTAGTAGTCCACGATAATACCTGGCGAAGTCGTACAAACGTGAAAGACATGTCTCAGCGAAAGGACAACCAAAACCAAACCAACCACATTACAATTGAATCCAAGTGCACTCGCGCGCAAGTCGGTAAATCTTGAATGAAAAGTTAAGTACCAAGTAATTAATTAAAAATATGGATGAGAATATAAATTCCAACAAGATCAGTTAAAACCACCTAGTGAGTCTAGTGTAATACCAGCGATGATAAAACCGTACAAATGAAAGCACAATTGGCGATTAACGGGAAATTCCACTAAACGCGAAAATACGATACCAGAAAATAAGACAAAAGACATGACAACTCACGTAGCACATCCGGGTGACGCGAGTGTCTTTAAGGTGACGAGTAGCTTCCCAGGGCCGCAAGCGTCCAAAAGGTATTCAACGCATGTATCACGGGGATACATACTGGACACGGTCACAACACTCACTGAGAACAACTCGCGGGTAGAATCGAGCCACTTGAAAGAGCTCATGTGAAACTAAGCAAAAGATGGAAATTAGGAAGGTAAGGAAGATGCGGTGGAAAAAATTGCAGGCCATTTGTTAGGAGGTAAAGCGTTATCGCGACTTTATGTGGGCTCCACCATAAACTAGCTGCCAAGGAGTGAGGCAACTTTCGAACCTATGGCTTGCTAGCTTCCATAATGGCAATTTCACCGAGGATAAAGCACCGCGTATGCCGTTAGATTATATTTATTTATTTATTTATTTATATGGTTGGCGGCATCCGGTTTCGGATTTGCCTGTCACTGTGGCTAGCCACAGGACGTCTACGTCTATAGAGGGACCAGGGGTGACTTGCGCTGCACCACCCACAGCTCCAACCACACACCCCATATCTAGTGTAAACCCGAAGGAATAAGACCGGGAGGCATGCGGATGGGAACCACGTTTCATCAATGGAGCCGACCCACACTCCTTCACAGGCAAACACAAGCACGATGTATTTGGGAATCAAGCGCACGCAAAGCGGTGGTTGGACCGTACTCCGCTCCACACAGTGCATGGAACAGCTCTTCGAGCCTAGCACGGCCACTAGGACAGTGCACCCCGTCCCCTCCAGCAACAACCAACTATCTCCTGGAGCCAGTATGGACGAGGTAGTGGGTAATAGACAGGTAGGCACCTTGTCAACATGCACATCAAGCGCAGCCACACCGGGGATATCAAGCAACAGCCAAGCACTTGAGTGAAAGATAACAAATAAAATAAATCGAGTAATGCATAAGGAAACGGTGATATAAATCTTAAATTAATGAGCATATGAAATAAGTTGTTTACAAAAGAATCCGAGATAAGTTCACGAGATCGGAAAGTATATTTTACGGAAATGCCACAAACACGAACATGTTATTGAAATTAACTACGATTGGCTTAAACGACGTGTGCAAGTTTATCGAAGAGAGTATAGGTAGGTATTTAAATGAGAAAGAAAAGCATTAGGACAAAATTGAAAACCCACCACCTGAAATAAATAGACTTAGCATGCAAGCACGCGGTTAGTAAATCGAATGCAGCGTACCTACAAACGCTGCGCCGGTTCTGTCTACGTTCTCTGCAGGACCCGTCGTCGCTTCGGTAGTGGTCCCGAGTGGCCTCGCTCATGGCTCACTAGGCCTGCCTCACTCAGGCATTCGCGACCGCATGGGCTACTGCACCATGCGCTCGTTGTCGATGGAGTACAACCCATCGGTGCTTGCCGCTTCTTCTCTGCATGTCTGAGGTCTTTCTCCCGCAGTTCGGCAACTGCCTTCGTGATTAGATCGTGCCATGCACGCCGATCAACCGCCTTCGATTCCCATGAACTGCAATCAACATTAGAACGTGAAAGGCTCAATTTGAACATGTCCTGGTAACGTAACTTTGGTTTCCCCACATGCCGCTTCCCAATACTCAGCTGACCTTATAAGAGTTGTTTTGGTGTCCGCGTTGAATCCATACGGCTCACATGACCGAGCCACCTCAGGTGTCTCAGTAAAAGTATGCAGTCCACTGCATACATTCCACTTCGATGCAACACTTCCGTGTCAGCAGTTATATATAATATATATATATATATATATATATATATATATATATACCTAATTACAAGATCTCGTGTTGACAGCTGTGTAGCGATGCGTTCATTGTTTAAGGTGATAGATCCTTCGGGAATGCAGCAGCCTTAAGACACGATACTTGATTTCTTAGCAGGGAGGTTCATCACCCATGTGCAGCACCATGACTCCAGAGAATGTAAGTCATCTTGAATGAGCAGTAGTGTCCAGTGAAGCTCGTCACGCTGAAGCTTATAGACGATTTTGATATCGTCAGCAAATAAAAATGGCGTACCATGTTTTATAGATGCGGTGATGTTGCTGATGTAGAGCAAAAAGAGTGAGGGACCGAGCACGCACCCTTGAATGAGACCACTGGTGTTTGAGTGTAGAGAAAAGCGATAATAACCTAGTGACTACCTGATGACGACCACTCAGTTATAACGATAGCCAACTTAGTAATGGGCCCCGGATCCAAAAGTTCCCCAACTTTTGTGACAGTCGCTGGTGCGGTACTTGGTCGGATACTTGGTGTATGTAAAGAAACAGGATCGTTTGTTTGGGACCTCCTTTGTGTTGAGGTGTAATAAACAACGTTTTCCACTGGTTCCGAAAGTGACTAAATTGCAGAGACGGAGTAAACATACCCATCAAGAGCAATGGTATATCAAGCCCTCCTAATTTAATGGTGGTTGGTGAAATGTCATCAGATCCCAGCTTGGAGGATGGCCTGTTTGACCTGATAACTTGATGGATAGCGTTGGGCGAGATATCGACTCTGCTTAAGAGGTATGTGATAGAGACGCAAGCGGAGCTGAATTTGGAAATCGAGTGAGAATTGATCGGTCAGCAAATACCAGACCGCGTCAAAGGAATCGAACTATTCAGTCAATACGATTAACCCGTGGAGTGAAACTCATTCACACTGGCTGAAAACCAGACAGGGAATAGTGAGCGACCTTGACCTCCTAAATTAGCATGTTCCGGTTACCAATAAATAGAGTTAACCTATCCTGTAGTGACACACTCTCTGTCTACCGAGTTCTGGCCTTTGTATTCTTTCGGTTGGCTGGGCGCGTGACTGAGTAGTCAGACAGTCACAGTCTCATAAGGCAGCTAGCAGCAGTACAACAGTTGTCAGTGGAAGGGAGCAGAGGCAAAGGAGAAGCGTTATAACAGTTTGATACTGTAAGCTCTGTGCACACAAGCACAGGGTCAACTTCGCGACTCATGGGTCACCGTCAAGAATGTCGGTAGTCAGAGGAGAGCGTTCATCGGTTCTACGAAGCACTATTTTGATAAGCTATGTAGCTTTGCATCTTATCCGTAGGGCTATATGTTCTTCATTTTTTCGTCGCGTCAATTGCGTATGTTTGACTCTGTTGATAAATTCGTGTATTTTGCAGCAAAACTTTCTGGTTTTCTTGCAGATTAAGTGCTCGACGAGACATGAGGAGTATGAACACATGGCTAGGAGTCAGCCACAATGGCGTTCATGTTGTGAGTTAGCCTGTCCACCCCCCTTTCCTTTAGATACCCCTTCTAATTAAGACCAACATAGCAGATGAATAATTTGGTATTTGACATTATATTACTAGGTTTCAATATTTTGTAGTGTGATTTTTGGCATCCTATTATTTTTGTATTGCGGCACATTAGCTGAAGCGTGTTTATCACCCTCAGCTAGTGTATATTGACAATGATGATGAGAATTAAGTTCGAGACTTATAGGTACACGCGCTGTATCTACATAGACAAGATCAGGTTCCGCTTTTATTAGTTGCGGACGTAGGCCCGCTCAAGAAGAGGGGCGGGTTCGAACGACCTCTTGTCCAGAATCAAACGCCGCGTGAAGACCTTGATTGTGGTGACGAATAATCAAGGCATCGTTCGCCCGAGATCATAAACAAAGGCATCTGCATGGGTGCAAAGTTCTCGATGTTCGTCGAAAAGCCTGTGGCGTGTATACGCTACAGTGTGGAGAGGAACGGTGCACAACTGATCATGGACAATGCCAGAATCCCGTTCTCTTTCCGCAGCTACCGTAGCTGCACTTAAGTATTCTCTGTATGTCGTTCAGCGGTCTACTCAATGTACTGTAAAACATCAGGGGTCAGCTTCAAATCATTGGTTCTTACACGACTGCGCGTAGTAATGGTACTTTCTCACCTTTAGGCATTGATAATGTTCATTGCAGGGATATCGTTGACATCGGTGAATCCAGCAGTTTCATGAGTGCTTTTAACTTCGACAAACACAAGTTTGGTAAGCATCTCTTTTTGCGTCAATGCGGTACGCTTGCATCGTCGCTACCTCGGAGATGCGTCTTCTTGTTGTTGGTTGTTCATTTTGGTCAGTTCGTGCAGCACCAAGCTAATAAAGCTAGGATGGGTTTGGTGGAGTTATAACAGGCTACACCGTACCAATAGTCGTGCAGCTGCATAGATTCGCCTATACACCCAAGCAAAATACGCGAAAACCTATGGAGGCAGGAGAAAACTTGGTAACCGCGTTTGACCAAGGTGAACAACACTCATGATCAGGATTAACATTTTGTACATCGTACTCAAGCAAACCGGGGAAATTTGCAGACTGCAATTTGCAATGATTCGGAATACTTACAGATAGCGAAAGAAAATATCAGAGAACGTCTGAATAATGGAGGACAAACGACTGGGAAGCTAACAACTGAAAGCATATGCAAGCTACTCGACTTGTGTCTTACTATTTACTTCAAATTCAACGGAGTGTTTTACGAGCAAGTTAGAGGAGCCCCAATGGGATCCCCCATATCTGGACTTATTGCAGAAGTCGTCATGCAGAGGTTGGAAGAAGATATACACAGTTCTTAGTTCGAAATTATGGGTGCGATACGTTGACGATACGTTTGTGATTCTCAAACGCAACCAGCTACAGACCGCACAAGACCTACTTAACAATGCAATGGAAGGCATTCGTTTCACCATAGAAGAAGAGGTGGAAAACCAACTACCCTTTTTGGACGTGCTGATCACCAGAACGGTAGAAGGCGAATTACAGACATCAGTTTACAGAAAAGCAACACACACCGACCAAATCCTAAACTTTAACAGCAATCACCTTAAGTGTCACAAAATAAGCTGTATACGGACCCTGTTTCGTAGGATAGAATCGCATTGCAATACTGCAGAGGGAAAACGTAGGGAAGAAGAACATCTGTTTATGTTTTTCATTCGTAACGGCTACCCACGCAGTTTCATCCGAAGACACCTAAACCGAAGGAGCACAACTACCACACCTGCACCAATGACGACGAAATACATCGCCTTACCGTACATCAAAAACATATCGGAAAAGACAGCCAGACTCCTCAAACCGCACACCTGACGATAGCTCACATACCAACTGGGACTTTGAAAAGAATATTATCTAGACCTAAAGAAAGACTGGAGGCACAAGAACACCAAAATGTCATCTAGAGGATAAAAGGTGAGAACTGTGACAAAGACTACGTAGGTCAAACGGGGAGAAAACTATGCACAAGAATAAAAGAGCACAAGCGTGCGTGTCGATATCATCATGTATCGTCACAGATCTTAGCACACCTCGATGAGGAAGGACACAATGTTAACTAGGACAAAACAGAAATTCTGGCGCACGGAGGGACAAGAAAAGGAAGGGAATTCCTCGAGGCATGGTTCTCTACGGAGAATTCCCTGAACCTCCACATTGATCTCGATCCCGTGTACCTACAGCTGAGAAAGCGTGAAGCTAGACGGCTAAGTATCGAACAAACAGAGGTCACGGGACACAGATCGACGAGGCTAATTTCAAACGCTACGTCCCAACGACATTTTCCGTGAGATTTTCCTCTACAGAGCCGTACACTGAAGATGCCACTGAGGGAACTGGTGAAACGTTTGACATTAAATTACTCAGCTCGGAGAACGAATCAAAACGTTAGACTGCAATTTTCCCTCTGTGTGAGCATTCTTCCGCGTGCGCTTTCTACCGTGTGGACATTCTTTGAGCGTGCATTTACATTTGCGGGCAATTTGCTATGCGCAATGTTGGTGTGCGTTTTCATCATAGAACCCACTCCCATAGACCCAGCTTATGCGCTTTGACATCGATGGGATCCATGGTGTGAACGGTCTGACATGAGCTGGAAACGATTGCAACCATCCACTGTAAGGAAGCTGCAGACAGTGACATACCCTCTCCAAGCAGAAACAGCAATGATATATGTAGAGGCCCTGCAGCAAGATGTAGGGGGGCACAATGATGGCGATGATGATATGTTCTGAAGCATAAATAGGATAAGTGATTTGTGTCATGAAAGACAACTTCAATGATTCGCTGAGAAGGCATGCTTTCACGTGTTGATTTCGGGTGCCCAATGGTAGCAAGACAAACAGTGATACAATATTCCAAGGATATCAATAGATGGTATCCGAGATTGACCATCAGCATCCAAGACACAGAGCGATGGTAAAGAGAGGCAGAGAGGAAAAGACGATGTGGAGCATCCCGGTTGTGTTGTGGCTCACCTGCTCAGTCATAGTCTTCAACTCGGGCCGAAGTCTGGCAAGCAAGGGCGTGGGTTTTAAACTGCTCACAAGCAAATTAACGTCCATATCACATAGTGAACCGTTGTGCAGAACTGGAAGCCACTGAATGTGTAGAAAAAGAAAAAATGGTGATCGGTTAATAAGCGCGAAGACGATATTTTTGTACCTTCAGAGAAACTAGTTTTCTGGAAACAACCGTAAAACGAAGACGGAATGAAAAACTTCGAATGTCCTGGATACTAAATGGGTGAAAAAAGAGCGAAACCAAAACCGCATTGGCTGCAAGCTCCAGACATCTTGGCAACGAGCTATCCGAAACAAAACTTACCGAATAGCCGAGCACACAATGCAGATCACCATCCGAATGCAGCTTTCTTGGCCGACATGTGACGTGATAGAACGTGAACAACAAGTAGTGGTTTTCGTCCAAATTCGTGGGAAGCTGAATTTTGAATTCATCGTACATAGCAGGACTCCTGAAATAGAAAGTAAAATACATTAACATATGTTAACAGCACACAAAAATGTCTGGCGATGGAAAAAGGTAAACACTTTAAATGTGCTTGAGATGTTCTAGTAAATCTACGACGGGAGTGCATTAATACGGAAGAATAGTTAAAGCAGTTACAAGTTTTGGAGAAAAACGTTTTGCTGCACGAACAAATGAAGGAGTTGAGCGGTTGTTGAATGCAAATGCAGTCGCACATCGGCAGACCGAACTGTCTAGAAACTACAATGACCGAGGTATGAGCATTGCGACGCTTCGCTGCCAAGTGACCACCACGAGTAGCGCGTGGATTGGGGACACTGCGAGAGTCGCCCGGTCCCCTAAGTACATACGAACACGTGGCATTTGGGTTGCAAGCTAGATGCCTTATCCTGTTGGTCACGACAAACCTAGGGTGCGAGGAAAATAATAAGCTCGGAAATCAAAAACCTATGGTGTAAGACCTAAATTCCCCAAGCAAACATTCAGTCAACACGCCTACATTTTTTCACAAACAGCTGGCTGTTGTGCGAAGATAAACAGGCATTGGCGAGATAGTGAACTGGTGACTTTTACCCTCCAAGGAAAATTCCCCTTCCCACACAGAAGACTCAGCAGCGTAAATATCTAGAATAGACAGTCCGAAGACGAAGACGATAAACATGCCAATGCTGCAGGTTGCGAACCATGACCTGTAACCGGGGTTGTACGGGCTCCACCCCGGATCACGCGAAAAGGACAAAGCCCTACTCCGGAAGCGATGGGAGGGTAAACGTGAGACCCATCCAAACGTGTACAGCTGATTCAGTCCGATTATTGGACTTAGAAGTAAACTGACCCCGTCGCTTACTAACCGCCAGCACAACCTGTTTGCGGACACACCGGTGCTATTCGGGAATGTATTACGACCAGAAATGTAAAGCATAAGAGCTCTGCAGACCAGAATACTGAGGGATCACGCTCGTGGAAGAGAACGGCCCAGTACACGCGAACTGTAAGGGTAAGCTAAATCCCATTTCGGCTACAGACATGTCGTACAATCACGCAGTCGTGGCCTTCGAGATACCTGAGCCACTCATACGCCTACCACGGTCAATTTGGTTGCCAAAAAGAGGAGAATTGTCCACCTGTGTTTAGCTCGCCATCGTCCAGCCTCAGTAAGCTACCAATCAAGTGATGGCTCCGCAATGACATCTACGTATTGAAGATGCGAGGCGCGTGTCGAGAAACGTCAATACTCCAATATTTATCCAACGCTGACTGTGCCGTTCAGTGGCTGTCAGCTAGTAAGACGGGGTCATTTAAAGGCGTAGGTGTCTGGTGTAACAGAGTGTCAATGTGCTCAGCAGGCGGCATCAGACAAAATGATGAATGAATATGATGGTGTGCGGGTTCCAAGGACAATATGTATTCTCTATTAGTGTGGAATGTACCTCTGGCTATCAATTCTCTGGTTACTAGGAACACAGTTTGGTTCGACCTCAAAGGTTTTCCGTGTGAAATGGTTGTTCCAGTGAGCTAGTGGATGGTAGGGTTGTTGCATCTGGAAAGATTGTTCCGAAATTAATAGACAACGATAGCCAAACAGAGTAAGATGGACGTTTTTGACACACAACAACGGCGCAGGTTCTAGTATGCGTAGGGGCAGGGCGACCCTCGCAGTATCCTTAGCTCACGTGCGACCGGTGGTGGTTTGGCAGCAGCGAAGCGTCGATACTACGTACCGGTGTACTGCTGATGCCAAACTGAACACAAGTACAAACCGTGGGAATTGAAGAAAGCAATGAATGTAAGTGATAGTTTTAGCTTCATGAGTGGCGAGGGATTGCCCCCATAAATGTGTTAGCAAATATATATATATATATATATATATATATATATATATATTTAAATAATGAGAAACAAAAGGAAGCTTACCGGTTGTGATACAAGACAGCGGAGAACGTTTCCGATAGAAAGGCAGGAGAGTTGCCTTGGCCGTAAATTGCCTGCGATGTGAGGGAAAAGCATTAGCAAAAAGTAGGTTAGAAAGAAAAGGATGAACATTAACGAAATCATGAAGTGAGTGCCCCGAGAGCAGCTGTTACGTACATTTTGACTGTTCAAGCATGTCGTTGTTCCCTACGCAACTTTGTGCATTGTGGTCCTGGCCCAACCTATTAGTTGAAGCAAGTTTACATGCATGCGAACACTTCAGTAGATTTATAGACATGTACACAGCCTAAAGTTGAGCATTGATAATCACTCATAACTTCGTGTATTTGAACGCAGCGAATTACTGTATTGACACACCCACGTACATGACGAACTGATTGCTTGGATTATCAATCGTCTTGCTTTATATTGTGTATGAACTCAATTGTATCAGCTGGCAGTTTGACTGCTTGTGATTCAGTTGATTGCTCGTTTGATAAGGCATCACTTGCCGGTTGATTACAAGGTGAGCACAGATTTGTTGTACAGTTTGTGATCTGGACATTGTTGCGGTCAGTAGGTAAATTGATGGTTCAATCTTTTGTAATGTAGCACCGTAGCTCATTCCCAACTTGGATTTCTGAATTGACCCGGAGTTTCTGAGAGTTAATCAAATCCGAGACCGAATTGTCAGCTGTTCAATCGTAGACAAGCTACAGGCTACCACGCTTCCCCAGGTTGCGGATTTGGGGATGCTTTCCTTATGGAGGTAACTTCGAATAAGCCGCATATGCTTCAAAATGAGATGAATAAGTGGTACTGTATAATCCAGCGGCGATGCTAGATGGCGTGATGGATGTTCGCCTGGAAGTGTTCTTCGTATAAAAAGTCACATAAGCCGCAGAAGAGCATTGTGATGTGGCGGACGCAACTCACCGCTAAGTAGATTCATTGCCATGGGCATCATCACTATACACGTCAGCTAGAGGCGGAAAATACCTCATCTATTGTGCCGCAACACAAAAGAAAAAGAAGAAAGTTGCAACTGACGCACGCCAACTAAGCCAAAAGTGACGAATGGGCATCGTTCCGGAGAGCTACCAGTCGCCTATTATGCCGCAAAAAAGTTACATTATACCTAGGAAATAAGATTTTGGTCGAAGGGGTGGCTAAGGTGGAAAGAGAGGGACAAAGAAAGTCACTACACAAACACCACTGAGGTCGGCTGCTAGCCATGTCAACAAGTGTCTCCGGCAAAACGTGTTCACCGTACTTCGGACACTAATCATGGAACCTAGAGGCTCTACCCGAGGCCAACTGCGAACTAAGGGCCCTCATTCCTCTTGAGTAAGTAATCCCTTGGCCATCGGGTGTTGGTATGTATTTGTGTCTTACAGTCATTTGAAAGGTACATGAGCGGACTAATCAACCAAAGGGTTCTAAACCGGTGCGAGTTTCTTATCTCACCATGCTGCCTCGTGGGCTAGGCCTCCTGGCTAAAGACTTGGGGAAGCGACTAGCCAAGACAATTCTCTAGTTCCTAGTCAACCAGGCAGTGTTTCGCCTAATGAGGAACCACGAAAGTAAATTGCACTATCTCTCTGCATGATGAATTACTCTCCCACTACGACAATTAGTTCGCAGTCATACGCCACCCACTTGTCCATTCTCATAATGTATCATCTGTTCCTTCATTGTATGACTTCGCAACGGTGGACAAAACTACCGCCTGCGATAAAACTGTCACCTTACCATTTTGTAGCTCATTCGTACACTAGCTCGGAGTGGGGATGAGAGGGCTTTCTGCTCTCCGAGCTGGGCATTTCCGTTGCATATATGCTGTTGTTAAGCTAGGCAACATCCTCAGTGCGACTATTAAGCTCTGATTCGCAGTCTCGTAAGCCACTGCCAGATCCAAGTGCTTCGAATGTCAACCTCGGATTAGCTCACGTGGGTCGGCCCAGTGATCATG